TTCCCTGGATTTTTGACCTTCCGTCAAAACTCCAGTAGGTGATCATACGCCGTGTAGGTGGGGGTGAAGAGGACATTCTCCATTCACTCTCGGGGTAGAGGTTTAGGCCCAGGGGTGACAGCTAGTCTCCTGGGGAAGCGGGGAACCAGCTTTTGAGTTGTAGTTCGCGGTTTTGGACGCTCACCACGAGTGAGAGAGTGTGTGTGAGGATTCTTATTTTTATAAAGACCAGTTTTGATAGTTTTGATCGGATCTTCGTTACCGACGAAAGATACGCGTGCGCTTACCGACGTAAGATTATTTGTTTTGAAATCGTTTCTTGTATTTTCGTTTTGATTAACTACATCTGTTAATCTAGATTTAGTTTTGCGGTTTTGATATAACCTGAAATTGTATCACGTGTGTTTTGTAATCTTTTTCATTGACTTATTTAATTGATTTTGATAAATAAAGTGTTTATTTTATCTTTATCATAACCTGTTTGACTTTTCGAGTTTATTTCTTTAGATTTAGTTATCTATTATGCTATTTACATTTAATTGAGTTTGTCTTGGCTTTTTATTTTCGGTTTTGTTATATTTTGTAATCCCCATTTATGACCCTGGACTTCGGCGAGCTTCAGATTCGAGCAACGGGGATGTTTGTGTCGCAGTATCGTTCATTAGTGTTTTGTTATTTAAAAACACTCAAAAATTACCCGTTACAAGTATCTTATTTTTAACTTTCTTTCTGCTTGATAGGTTATTGTAACTCCTACTTTTCCTTGTCCTGGAGATAATATTCCATTGAATCCTAAAGCCCTCGATCCTGCATCAGGTATTTATATTTGAAAAAAACCACGCCAGTTTTATTCCTGTCATTCCTTTGAGTTTTTTTTTTTTAATTTATGCTACACTATTCACTGTGGATTAAGTTAAATTAATTAATTATTTAAATATTAATTTCATAGATAATGATTCCCAAGTGCTAGAAATTGAAGATCATATTGAATGCAATCCTATTATTATCGACATGTATCCTTATGATGAAGAAATTTCAATTAATACATGTGAACCAATTACTGATATCCTCGAAACTCTAAAATCATCAGTTAAAGGTTTAGCAGTACTTAATTATTATAAGAATCATCGGACACTTAATGATTTCTACAGAAATCTTTTATCTGATGTAATTGTGTCGACTGAAATGCGCACAAATCACAGTTTAATGTACTTTGTAGTTCTGCCATTATTTTCAATTTTAAATTTCAAATACAGATTAAATATTATTAATAAAGTACTTTTAAAATTTATTTACAGGATAACTCCAGAAAGACTACACGAATTGGCATTACTAATACCAGAAGTATTTGTATTAGAATTATGCGATACGTATTACGTACCTTATAGTCGAGAAAAAAGCAAAAAAATATTAGCTCGCGGCAAATTCCATACTCGCTACAATCATTGGAAGGACATTCTAATTCAAAGTGGATCAACACCAAATTGTAGAGGACTTAAACGAAAAATAATCGATGAATCTGCTCCGATTCGTTTGGGACGATGTCTGGACATTTTTAAAATTGGTTACTATTAGTTAATTATAATTAACTAATAGTAACCAATTTTAAAAATGATAATTATTATACTTCTTACTAGTTCATTTACTTACAGTCTAATATAAAAATTTATCTCTCAATTTTTTTTAGATTGTGTACCTCAAGATTATGAAGATCAACTAAATTATTTGAAAACTCGTATAGATCCATGGGACATAATCGAAAATTACTGGGAAAAAACTTCGAGCACACCCATTAAAGACCTTATAAGTGATAATAAAATTACCAGTAACGATTACTTAAAGACTTCCCCAGCTCTCAGGAATAAACACGATGGCTTAAAACTAATTGACATTGATTTTAAAAATCAATATCCCAATCAAGCAACACGTTTGATTGATAATTATAAAAACTCAGAGAAAAAGTTATATACTTATTGTGATAAGAAAAAAAAGAAAAATGCGGAAATTAAAATCCAATTAAAACTGTTTAAACCCGTGAAAAAATTTTCTGATCAGACTATATCAGGCCTGATATAAACCATCCATATCAGACCTGATATGGAAATTGGCCATATCAGGTCGCCGCCCGACTTTTGTAAAGCCGAGGCGAAGCCGAGGTTTTACTGGTCGGGGCGGGCATAATAAAAAAGTAAAAATTAATAAATAAAAAAAAATAAGTTATTTTAAAGTTTACTAACAAACGCTCTGATTAAGAGAGATAACATGCACAGAACTTGTCACAAATATTTAAACTCGACTTAATAACAGAATTAATTTTTTTAAATTGATTAAAAATTAGTTTTTAATTAGACGGCTAAGAAAGATTGAAATTTAATTATTAGAAGTTTGTAGAGTACATGGATTGTTTTATAAACAAATCGCTTTACTATAGCTGTCAAAATATAAAAGAAAGCAAATAAAATCTACAAAACTTTTATATTTTATTTTCTAAAATTTTTATATAAATTATTTGTGCAGTATTATATTATTAAATAGTTCATTAACAATAATCTAGTAAGAAATTATTTTTATTTATTTGACACTTTTTGGTTAGTTTATGTGTTGACATGTTACATACAGACGATGTTGTGACTGTTATATACAGTCGAAACTCGCTGTATAGGCCGGTCGCACCACGAAAGTACGAAAGAAAGCGAGGCTCTGTGCTGCCGGCCAGAAAATATGCGTAGCGCGCATGCGTAGAGAGCCGGCTGAGCCGGCCATAAATGTTGCGCTTCCTGGAGTAAAGTGCGTCCAGGATGAGCGTACTTTTGGCTAGGAGAGCAAGAAAAATTATTTACAGGATAACTCCAGAAGGACTACACGAATTGGCATTACTAATATCAGAAGTATTTGTATTAGAATTATGCGATACGTATTACGTACCTTATAGTCGAGAAAAAAGCAAAAAAATATTAGCTCGCGGCAAATTCTATACTCGCTACAATCATTGGAGGGACATTCTAATTCAAAGTGGATCAATACCAAATTATAGAGGACTTAAACGAAAAATAATCGATGAATCTGCTCCGGTTCGTTTGGGACGATGTCTGGACATTTTTAAAATTGGTTACTATTAGTTAATTATCATACTTCTTACTAGTTCATTTACTTACAGTCTAATATAAAAATTTTTCTCTTAATTTTTTTTAGATTGTGTACCTCAAGATTATGGAGATCAACTAAATTATTTGAAAACTCGTATAGATCCATGGGACACAATCAAAAATTACTGGGAAAAAACTTCGAGCAAACGCATTCAAGACCTTATAAGTGATAATAAAATTACCAGTAGTGATTACTTAAAGACTTTCCCAGCTCTCAGGAATAAACACGATGGCTTAAAACTAATTGACATTGATTTTAAAAATCAATATCCCAATCAAGCAACACGTTTGATTGATAATTATAAAAACTTAGAGAAAAAGTTATATACTTATTGTGATAAGAAAAAAAAGAAAAATGCGGAAATTAAAACTCAATTAAATCTGTTTAAAGAGAATATTGATAAAAGTGAAGGTACTTATTTTGACTTATGACTATTTTATTTTTATATCCGATACTAATATTTACTTTTTTCATTATAGATTTCCGGAGTGGAATAATATTTCGATGGCTACCCTTACTTTTGCCGTGTCCTCCTGTTCTTATTTCTCGAGACAAGTCAACTTGGCGACCAACTAAGGAAGATGTTATTAATGGGTTTCTTCTGCATGTAAAAGTAATTATACTAAACAATCATGCATTTATTAGATAATTGACGCATTAATTCAAACTTCTCACTGGTTTTTTTTCCAGAATGAAAATAGTTTAGCAGAAGTGTTAAAAAAAAGAAGAGAAAAATTAAAACAGTTTGGGTTATCAGAGCAACCATTATCCGTACTGATAGGAAACACATTGAGTAGTATAACTAAGCAATTAGTAATTATTAATGATATTCAATACGCCGTAGAATGAACGATCGAATGTGTTGATTTGACTTTTAAAAGTTTTTATAGTTTACAACTTGAATTTTCCCGTGAAGCGGCTTATTCGTGGATTCTTTTAAAAGATGCGATCTATGAAATTGATAGTGACGCTGATGTAGTGATTCCTCCACTCCGAACATTTATCAATGACCTTAAACGTATAGAAATTGATAATTCTTAAAAGTTAATTTTTCATAATGATATCTCAAAAAACTGATGATTCGACTGAGCTGTATAATTTTAATCAAAAGTTAATAGATGCGACGTTAAAATTATATGGTTCATCTAATATACCTTTAAAGCAAGTTGATTATATTTTTAATATGGTGCATGATCTTTTTCAAGCTGAGCATAATTCTATTAAAAGTAAGTTAGACAGTCATATGAATAATGAATCTAGTACTAAGAAAATTAAAGATAATATTGTAAATGTATTAAATTCTAATCATAAGAGTATCAAACAATTCAATACAGAATATAATCGTCTTCAAATTTTGGAACAAAATAAGTTTTATTTACCACTGATTGAATTTGTAATTGGTACACGATGTGCAGTTCTTTAACGGAATCATGAAGGTGATCCTGTACCAAAACCCAAAAACGCAACTGCAATTTTATTTTCATTAAGAGCTATGTTGAAAAAAGTTTTTGAGATGTTAGGTATATATGATACAGTATATAGTGCATATAAACAAAAATTAGAAAAACAAAGTAATATTATATCAAATTTTATTCAAAGTCCTATTTGGAAAAATAAAAATTAAAAACTGTGTATCAAAAGATAATGTATATCCACTTTTTTTATTTAGTGATGATTTTGAAACGGGAAATTGTCTTGGGAGTCATGCTGGATCGAATAAGCTATGTGGTACTTATTTTTCAATTCCTTGTTTTCCGCCACATTTATCATCTCTTAATTCCTTATTTCAAGCACTTATTTATTATTCAAAAGATCGTCAAGAATATGGAAATTTTTCGGTTTTTAGGACATTAATGATTGAACTCGAAGTATTAGAAAAAAATGGAGTTGATATTTATTTAATTGATGGAAGAAAAATTAAATTATTTTTTAAACTAAGTCTGATTTTGGGTGACAACCTCGGTTTACATTCGATACTGGGTTTCACTGAAAGTTTTAATTCCACTTACTCTTGTCGATTTTGTAAGATGGACACAGTTCAACGTTCATTAGCTAGCTTAGAAGATAAAAAATTACTGCGCGATAAAGAATCATATGAGACTGATATACTATTAAAAGATCCAAGTTCTACTGGCATTAAAGAAAAATGTATTTTTAACCGTCTTTCTAATTTTCACGATTTAGATAATGTTGTTGTTGACATAATGCATGACTTTATCGAGGGTTTTGTCCATCGAGATATGTGTGATATTTTAGACTATTATATAAATAAAGTTAAACTCTTTTCTTTATTAGACTTAACGTCTCGAATAAAACTTCATGATTTCGGTGAATTTGATATTAAAAATAAGCCGCTTGAAATTTTACCAAATCATTTAAAGAATAAATCCTTAAAAATGTCAGCTGGTGAAATCTTATCGTTCGTTCGTCATTTTGGAATTATAATGGGAGATTTGATTCCAGATGACGATGTTGTTTACAGACTTTATTTAAATTTAGTTAATATTCTTGATATCATATTAGCAAGATCCATTCACAAAAATTGTAAAGGATTATTAAAAACTTTAGTATCTGAACATCATACATTAGTGCTTACTATTTTTAATCGGCATTGTAAAACAAAAGAGCATAATTTAATTCATTATGATACAGTGATGCATACTTCTGGTCCTTTGATTAATTTCTCTGGAATGCGATGGGAAGCAAAACATAAAGAATCGAAGATGTTAGCGGTAGTTTCAAACTCTAAAGTAAATATATGCCAAACTTTAGGCGTTAAGCATCAGCTCAAGTTTGCATATCTCGTACAATCAAATACAATGTTTCCAACCGAACTACTACTGGGAGAGTTGAAAAAAGTGACCACAAAAACGTTATATTCAGTACATAATGATGAATGTTTAATTGTCAATAAATTATCTCACAAAACTGTTAACAGTTATGACTGGATTGAAAAGAGAGGAATAAAATACAAGTCAAGAATGGTTTCATGTACTTCCCACGAAAATCAAAAATTAAATTTTGGCATTATTAATTATATTATAATTGAGAATTACATTATTTATTTTAGCTATCAAAAATTATTAACAGTTTTTGACGCTCATTGTCATGCGTTTAAAATAATAAATTTAAAAAGTGATAATTATATTGTAAGTTATGAAGATTTAGTTTATATTTATCCAGTTTCACTTATTCAAAAAAATGATGAATATTATATTTTACATCATTACCTTGCATGAAAAGTATGCATAAATATGTACTATATTAATTATTTGAATAAAATTTTATTATTGACTGTTGATTATTATTATTATTGAGGTTCTGTAGACAATTTATGAGCTTAACCTAAAATTTAAATAATTGTTTTTATTATTATCGTTGGCTGCATAATTTATCATGCATTTAAACATATACGTAGTAAAGTTATCCTAAGAATCCTTTGGATGTCTATAATAATAAAACTATCGTTAATCTGACGATCCACAGTAAGGAAACATCGTATAGCTGAATTAGCTATACAGCGTAACGTTAAGACAAACAGCTATACAGCGTATGGCTGATTTAACCATACGTATACTTAATCTAACAATATTTTTTTCTCCGTGTATAAGTTAAATAATTAGTATTTCATAGGGGGGGGGGTGCAAAATGGAGTACTTAAGGAACTCTTAAGTTATTGAAGACTAAAATACGCTGAATCTTATTTTTTAACTTCCCGCTAAGAAAATCGGGAAGTTATTGTTTTCACCCCGTTTTGCGAAAATCGAGTTTTCATCAGATCTCGACGTTTGAAGGTCACAGGAAGCTTCCCTGACTATCCCCGCGAGGTTGTCACTATGTCTGTATGTATGTATGTTTTTTTTTTCCTTGGGGGGGGGAATCCTTTTTACGGATTCCAGGCACAGCTGTTTGGCCTGGATATGTGGCGAGTCGACGCAGCGTCACACTAAAACTCGACGCTAATGCCCCTACCTACTAAACCCTAAACTTCTTTTTCCTTCTTTCCTCTAATCCCTCATGGAAACCGCCGTCAGGCATTACTTCGTGAAGGGAGGATCTAGCTACTGCTCTTCCTTCTGGTGACTGAGGTGTTGTTTTTCCTTCCTTCTAGTTTCTCTCATTCGCTCTTTTTCTTTCAATGGAACGCAGCTCTGTAAGGACTTCTGTGGCAAAAGTGCTTGTAGCGTTCCAAGCAGTTTGACTCGACAACGTTGCCTCTACTATTGTCTCTGGTTGGATTCTCCGGTTCAGGATCCTTTCTAACTCATCTCGCTGAGGATCAAAATGTGGACACTATCCGTTTACGTATATCTTTCCGTGCATCAGTAGGAGTTGGATGGACGGTGTGGCTTAATGTATATATAATAAGTGAAAGGAAATTTAGTATAGACCGGATAGCTCAAATGGTAGAGTAGCCGACATGTCTTCGGAAGGTTCTGGGTTCGAATCCCAGTCCGAGCTATCTAATAATTTTTTCTCACATATTCTATACACTCACATTAAGATGATCCTCTCCATAATCCTTTCTCAATCCTTTCCTACCAATTATCCTGTTACGTGAATGTTGGAACGCTTCACGTAATAATTATCCGTAACTCCTATTCTTTCCTGCTTCACAGCATTATTTATATTTGTTACTCCATCAGCAAGGATGACACGCAAAATCGTGAAGCGTTCCACATTTTAACAAATATAAATAATGCTGTAAAGCGGAAAAGAATAGGAGTTACGGATAATTATAACGTGAAGAGATCCAGCATTCACGTAAAAGGATA